ATAAGGGATAAAGACTAGGTGAGTAACCAAGGCTCCCAGTTCATGGCTGACACAAAGACCGCCTTTCATCCTTTCAGCAGGGCGGCTCATCACGCCCTAAGAATGGACACAAGTGAGTTGAAGAAGAGAAGGACAAGGATTGGGGGAGAAGAAGACCATGCAAAATTATTTGAGGGATCGTGACCAACCTTGGTCCTACTCAGTCACGCATGTGTGACAGTTGTGGGCTCCCCAAATTTATTTATAGATGTCCTGCCTACAAGCTCAAATTTGAGGTAGTAAGTTTTTAAATTCCACGTAGGGCCACACTCTATGTAAGCCAGCCACCGAAGTACGCTAACGAGGTTTTTCTCTCTCTACTTATTCCAAAACGGTCCTTCGCTCTGCTCCCCTCCCATCTTTAAGATGTCTCCAGCATTTCTTCCTCTACCCCAAACCATATACCTGCTACTTTCTCTCCACAGACAAATGCCTTTTCCAGTCTAAATCGAGATACTCCGATGCTTACCCTCCTCCCACTTTAATTGTCGCACCAGGCGTCTAAACTTTTCCCACGCCATCTCCTACCACACTCACTTCTCTACTTAGTTTCTGAGACCTCCCACCCGACTATCCCACCAGAACTTTGAAAACATCCAGAACTTCCCAAAAAGAACACGCCCTCCATCTACTCTCCAATCCCTCTATTCTCTACATTCAGATATTTTGCCGAATCCTCTTCTCTTTAAGTTCCCTTATTTTTTCTATCCCCCCTTCCTCCCACTCTCCTCCTAAAACACCCATCCTTCCTCCCTTCCCATGCATCACCATTCCCTCTTCTTTCCCCATTTATCCTCACCACTCCCACGTGGATGCTATACGTGACTCCTTATGTCGCACGTTTCCCACTTCCCGCCGGACATTCTTCCAGATGCTTCACTACCTCCCCTGTTCCCTTATCTCATTCTCTGGATTCTTCTCCCACTTCTCCAACTAACATTTCTACCCATATTACCAGTTGATTGTTTCATAATAGCTCCTTTGCAATTTTCCTCATAGTGTTACCCTTCCTTCCTCTGGCACAGGTACTCTCTATATGATCTAATACTCTTATTCCCTTAAACCCGTCCCCCTTTTACAAATCCCCGCTTTACCCTTTCCATTCCCATACTATTCTATAGCGATCTACAAGCCTTAAATCTAACACATTTTATCCTAATCGTTAATCGTTTAACTCAGTTTTTGCCCTCTTTGTCCACAATATATTACCATAGTGCTATGATGACCGTTGTATCATTCCTAGTGCCTTCCCTCTCCTCCTCGCGCTGCTCCTTGCATCGGATATCTAACCGGTCACCCCCGTCTCTTTTTACTCGCATCCTCTCTTACCCTGACCTTCACCTGATAAGAAACCTTCGTTTCTCATACCTACCAACGAACTCCATTTCAGAAAAATCTCGCTACGTTCAAACTAACCTAATCATGACCGAAGTTCTCATGCGTCAACCCCCCCCCCCCCCCGATCAAGTCTATGGCGGCTATGGTAAAGTATAGTACGACAGGGTTGAGAATGAGGTTTGATGATCCTGGGAAAGTTACAGGTTGAAAGTACGAGGGTAGTATGGTAGTGACAGATCATCTGGTGACTGATTGGGATAGTTTACGGTCACAGTTGTCAGAAGGGATGGAGTTCAGGGAGTAAGGAGCATTATGATACGTATTGTGGCGAAACGCAAAAAAAAGAATTACCCTTATGATAAGTGGACAGAATAAGGTGGTGAGAATGGACAAGAAAGAGAAAGAAGAAATACCATACAATATTTGTTAAAGATAGCGGAGGTCCAAGGCAGGGTGATCCCTACATTGGCCCCTCTCCTAAGTCCCCAATACGACATAAACGAACAAAGGATGTGGGGGGGGGGGTATTTTTTGACGGGGGAATCTCTTCGCGTCAACATCTAAGCTAATTGAAGCGTATTCGCTAATATAGTGAAAGCGGGAGCTTGCCAGGTATGAATTGCTATGTGGAATCAAAGGGCTATTTGCGCAATGGTAAAGTAGATAGTGAAAAGGGCTAAGAATGAGTAATGATTTCAGTAAGTTACAGGTTTACATTCCAGAGAGTATCCATGGGTAGTGAAAAGGGTAGAGGTAGGACGCTATCTGGCCATGGGTAAGTAAAAGGTTGATGGAAGGGGTCGAGGAGGGAGTAAGGGAGCATTATGATAAAAGTATTAGGCGAAAACGGAAAGTCTAACGATGCAGGATTACGGGACAGCAAAATATGAGAGGAGAAAGGAGAGAGAAAAAAAAACATTTATGAGTTAGTTGAAGCGAGGGCTGAGGACCAAGTATGGTGATCCCCCACATTGGGCCCCCCGTCCCCCACGGCAAAACGAACAAGGGATTGGGGGGGGGGGGTATTTTTATAGTTTCACTTCACAATGCAAATTGCTTAAAATGCATCTTTTAACAAACTCTGATGGTCATCCGTTTCTGGCTCGTACTTTTTTTTGACTGACCAGACACTGTGCAAGGCAATTCGCCCCATATGCGTAGCCGTTCGATCGTGAATGTCCTTTAGATTAATAAAGTGACCAGCTCATGCTCAGTTCTATGTAATGATAATCTATTGTATCTATGAGCGAAAGGTGGCCCCTACTATGTATAACATACTAATCATGATATAGCAATTGATGATCCACTTAATCTTATACTTGCTGTCTTTTTATATTTAGTTGTTTAGCGGTTATTTGGCTAGGGAAATCTGCGGGGTCACGCCTAACCACCTGCCTGAAAGAAACCGCACTTATTTCTTCACTACCCATGCTGAGCTGGTGAAGTGTAGATCGACTGGTGTCCCGGAATGGTTTAATGGTTAAAAGCAAAATACATGTGCTGCCATCCAGTCATGTGCCTATAGTAATGTCAGTGGAGATTCGGTTGAGTTTAGTGGTTAGTTTGCTAAAGCTGGTACTAAAGGAATTTAACGAGTGAATGGGTGAGGTCGAGAAGGTAATGGGTTAAAGGGTTAAGGATGTACGGCGCGTCTGAGGAAGTAAATCAGGTTGTCAAAACAAAGTGTGAGAATCTGTAAAGATGTCTGATAAGGTTTAGAGAGCCGGTGAAGTTAGGATAGTGGGGAAAGCGAGGTGTCCCCCGAAGCTCACCGATTGGATTTTAATCGTATTATTGGTTCAACTTTGCGGGGAGGTAGCGGATAAGCGTGGGGGAACCCGCTACCTTGTAAAAGACACACTTGTTCTGCCTCCATCCCGATTTGGCTGGTAAACATGCAGCCACTTACTTGTTTCCATTTCGATTATATTACATTTCCACTCATGGGCTTCTCATGGTGTAAGAAAGCTTGAGAAGTTTACAATAGATAATTTTTTTAGCTATTTATCGTTTAATTGATCAACTACGAAAACGGTGGATAAGTACCGATAGTGGTATCCCTGCTATTCCCCCCTCAAGGTTTGGCTCACCCAAGGGTCTGACTAACCTTTTTACAAATACGTATATAGATCCAGTTATACCTTGAATATGACCTGGAATAACTTTTTGTTCACTTCGCTCGGCTACAAAAAATAGGTTTGAAATATATATTATTAATATTTCGCGTTACCACCACCAACGTGGCGAACGGTGGCAAGTCTACGTGGTATAGATGCCACAAATTCCGCAGTTAACCGACGTCCGTCTGCAGAACGCAATCGCTCCCATACCGTAATTGCTTGGGTAATGACGATATGGCGATTGCAGGTATGATTTTGGGGGAAGGCTCTGCCCAAACATTTTCAATGGGATCGAGATCTGGCGATTTGGGTGGATATCGGGGTGTTGCCGAAACCACGACACTGCTCGTGTGGATGGGACGGTTATCCTGGACAAGCTAAAATAACTCCGGTCCGGAGCCCTTATCGACGAAAGAAACCTCTCGTCCAGGATTTCCACGTAGGCATACCTCAAATCTGCAATGTCCGACATACGCCAACTCCCCAACCCCGCTCTGTGCATTCACTCGGAACAGTCCTGCGATTTCTAACAGTTCGTATTGCAAAGTCCCACCGGATGTTGCCAGCAGAACCAAATGGGTCCCCATTGGGGGTTATTAAAAAAAGTAAATAAATAAAAAAAACTAATGACTGAGTAAGTGGAAGTAGCATCAAACTACTAACAAACATGCTCTTCTCAAATCCAGTCACTTGTAAGGGGTGTTGCCATCGAGTATCAAATGGTTTTCATTAACTCAATCTTTATGCACTTCAGTGCAATCTTCCTATAGGTCTTTTATATAATTGATTGATTTATAGTTTTGAATGATATTGATATTCCTCCGTCGTGCATCTAGGGCGCCCACATCTGGGCTTTTCTATGGTGGATTCAGTTGCTTGGTGTCGCTGGATCCACAGACACTCGGTTGGCTTCAAAACACAATCTTGATATTTCGGCTCTTGATAATTCCTCAGCGTAAAGCGTAATTATGACGTTACAGATGGTCTATGAGGTATCCATGGCTGATAAAGGTATAATACAGGACCCTTGCCACATCAGCTCCGAAACACTATTCGGACTCATTGTGAAGCTTCATCTGTTCCGAACTTTGAAAACCACAGTCTTTCTGAATGAAATACTCCTGTACACCCGCTAAAAAATTCTTTACTTGGGAGTAGAAGTGTATAAATAAAAATCTTGATAATCTAAGGTGATCCTAAAACTTTGTTCATCACTACCTGCACAAGTATGGTGTCTGGGAAAAGTGTCTTAGAACTGAAATTATTTTTTTTATTTTCAGTTTGGTAAATTCATTAAAAGTATGATACTTTAAACATCTGAGGCGGTGGCAGATTCCCTTTTAACTGAAGCATTTGCCATTATTCAAATTATCTAACAATGTAAGAGAGGGAGAAAGAAAGAAAGAAAGAAAAAAAAAAAAAAACAGCATTGTAACACCAAGTATTGGCAATATTTGTTTGACCCCTTCATAGATGGATAAAGCCAAAGACAATATAGGTTTGCATATTTTATTAATCATAAGCTACATCATATAAGGCATTCTATCAATTTCACAATAGCAAGTTCAAAATGCAGCATTTTGGGGAAATGTACTGTTTTTGGTTAGTTTATTAACTAACTACTGAACCTTAAATATAATAAGGAGATTCAGATATTCATAAATCACTTCAACTTATACTTCCACTCATCCTATCGACTTCTACATATAAAACAATTTAGGTGGAGGCTGATGCTATGCCTATATATATATATATAAACAATGCTAGTTCCTCCCCAAAATTATCATTTTAGTTAACAATATGGGGGACACTAGTCAATACTGTTCGTAGTTAGCAACACTTAGCCTCCAGCCCTGCTTGGTATTCGTCTGGCATGATGGGCTTGAGCCGGCAGGGTGGCTGCAAAGCTAATTTGGCTGCATGCCATACATACACCCACATGGTTGTATTTTATAATATTCATATCATGAAAGAGCACTAATCTGTTACTGTAATAAATAATTTTGGAAAATGAATACAAAAGCACTGAAGTCACTAAAACTTTCCCCCAATAAAGCCGATTCTAACATTACATACTTACATTCCACTTACTTTTGGACACATACCAATCTTTAAGGGGAAAAGAAAAACTTAATTAGATAAAGACGCACAAAAAGAAAATCTATATATAAAGTGATATTTCAGATACTCGATATAATCAAAGGACAACAGCCACTGGAAGCACACACACACAAACTGTGAAGAACTCACAGTAAGTTAGCGACCACCAAGAGATGTTGCCCATCAGATGACACGCATGAGTAAAGTACATCATTCAATTTAGTTATGACTACAACCACATTCTAGGAGACATAACCTCACACCATTACAGTCACTTTCTGGCAAATCTGGCATTCAGTGACAGTGGTGTGAAAGTGGGTTTTCAATATATGAATAAAGCTGTACGATTCATTTTCCATACATTTTCTAAAGTCAAGAAGTAATATAAAACCTTGAATAAGATGTTGGGGGAAAAAAAAAAAGAAGGAAAAAACACCACCACCCTCCTGATCATACTCGTCACCAAGCAACTGAAATTTCAATTAAACTATCTTTACAAGGCAACTGACTGCCATTCTCCATTGATCCGGACTTGCTATCAATTTGCATTATATATTATATGCTTTGCTTTATTAAATCTAAAAATTTATGCAGAATAAAATAAAGCTGTCAACTTCAGACACTTTATAAATTCTTATCAATTACTTGTTAATCTGGAAAGGTATTACAGTTAAATATTTTTGAATAGTCTCCCAAATTTTTTATTTATTACAACCATCAACTGGACTGCATTTCTAAGTCAATTAGATTCCTTAACCCATTATTTTACTTGTTTGGCTAAAATCTGCACTTTCAAAATTTGAAACAAAAGTCATTTAACAAATCTTAAATTCATCCTATCTTTCACTTTCACTTTCACTTTCATGGGGGGGGGGAAAGAAAAGACAAAGAAAAAAATCAGCTAGCCTAGAAAAGCCTTTCTATGTACTTTACAAGGTTTGCAGCAGGAGCAGCAAAAGAATCACTTATGCAAATTAAAAACAAAATGGCTAAGCTCTTAAGTACCTAATCTGTCCCGATTGCATAGGAGACCAGTAACATTTTCAATTGTTAATCAATATCATAATTTCATGTACATCACAAAATTTGACACATACCTTAAAATACTCAGGACTGCAATAAACACCGAAGAGAATACATCCATTTTCTGTAAAAATCAAAACATTATATATTCTCTCCAAATTTTTTTTTTTTATCCCCTCTGGATATGTCATGTATCAGCAGGTAATTAGCTTCATGTATCGATCAGCCGGCATTTCCTATCAATTAAGGATCATCACTTTACTAATTTGTAGATACAAGTCTTATCAGATATAAATCCTACCTTTTTATAGATGGTCTGCTTCTCCAGAACTGATCTTAAATTTCCAAGTTCATGGAAGACACACCATCTTCTGAAAAACATAATTAACCAAGTTAATTTCCCAACTCACTTTCTCACAATAAGAAATATAATCAAAAGTATCAGTAGGCAATTAGCTTCAAGTGTCGATCAGCCGGCATTTCCTATCAGTTTTGGATCATCACATTCAATATAAAAACTTGTAGAATTATGTATAAATTTTACCATTTCACAAAGTTGCTTTCTCTGACTGGTTCTTCATTCTTCTAATCCATATTCATTTAGGGATCTGTAAAGAGAAATACAGCATTTTTCTTTTTTCTTCGTTATGGAGGGAGAAGATTTTACGTAGAAACAATCAGTGGCATTCTAGCTTCACATATCGGTCAGCCGGCATTTCCTATCAAATTTGGTTCATCACAATATTAATGAGTATTACAGAACACTTTCTTCTTAAAAGAAATTTTAAAAAGGTGATGGCCAGTTCTTTTTTATAGTATAAATATAATCTTGGTAATGCTCATTCAAACATGAATTTAATCCAATTTGTAGTTTGGACACATTTCCCTTGAAATGTAGCCAACCAATGAACTAAATTAAGAGTCCAACAAAAATGCATATAGTCTTGATAAGAGCAAGTGACAGCCTAATACAGTTATTTAGCCTGATGCTAGATTGACTAATTTCCACAGACTTGTTCAGTAATTCAGATACACCAATTCGCAACAGGAGACTGATGGAGTAGAAGTGCAAGTTTAGAATGGAATTTATCACCATTTCAATTGCTGATTAATTCATGTGATTCTAAAAGATCAAAAAGAGTCAATTCTGGCCATTACCTTCAAAGGATTTCCTTCAACACATTTATGTAAAAATGTTGGTCAATCTAGTCAATTATTCAATCTAGTTCTAGCTTTTACTAACCTTTCATTGGTCACGTTCTCCCAATTCTTGCATAGAATTTGTTCAGCCTGTAAAGAAATTTAACACATTAAAAGAAGTTTCCCCACAAAGGTAAGAGTGAGAGAATGAGAATTTTCAGATGCACATTACAATCAATAGGAACAACAACCAATGGAAGTGTCCGCTCTCACTGCACAGAACGCACAGGAGAGAATCAACAACCAAGACTTGTTGCCTGTCAGATGACGCGCATGTGCAAATGGCATCATGGAAGTTTAGTTTCAAAGGTAAACAAACTGGAAATTTGTACAATTATATGCACTTTAAAATAACAAATTTTGTTTTTACCTTAACTTATGTGATGTTCATAAGGTTCACTGAAGAAAAAATGCACCAACACCTGAAAAAATAACAATTATTTTATTTTCTGACTCCCTCATCTCAATAAAGAATATAACCAAAAGTTTTCAGTAGGCAATTAGCTTCAAGTGTCGATCAGCCGGCATTTCCTATCAGTTAAGGATCATCACATTTAAAATATATAGTCTTTTACAATCAATATATAAGCCTTACCATTTTATATAAGGTTGGATCTCTGCCACAGGATCTTCATACTTGTAATGCTTAGTCATTCAAGGATCTGAAAATAGAAAATATATTCTTTATTTTTTCCCCCCTTTGTTTGAGGGATAGGATTTTTTAATATAAATAATCAGTGACATTTTAGCTTCAAATATCGGTCAGCCGGCATTTCCTATCAAATTTGGTTCATCATAATCTTACTATCTTTACAAGGTGATGGCCAGTCCTACCTTCATAGCATAAATATATTAGTAATGCACAACAAAATTTAATGTGCTGTGTAGTTTTGACAGAAATTACCCTGAAGTGCAGCCAGCCAAGGAACCAAATTAGTCCCACAAAAATGCAGGTAGGCTGGTCTTATGCAGGATTGGCTAGTTTTCTCAGACCTACTTAATCATTCAGACATTTTGATTATCAACTGACGATAGAAATGGAGTACAAGAGGCTGAGGCATAGCAGAGCAAGTTCAGAATGGTATCCTATCTTCAGTCAATATTCATTAACCCCCGTGGTGCCGGGTGACGCCGATCGGCGTGTAAACAGAGCTCGAAAGCTGGCGTGCAGCCAAACAAGCCGGTGGTGCGCCAAAGCAGGGCGAGCCAGTGATTCGGGCTGATGTCCCCTACTCACACGCTCAAAGTCGGCGCGCCTCCTTTGTTTGTTTAAGCGTAGTTTTTTTTTTTTTTTTTTTTTTTTTTTTTTTTTTTTTTTTTTTTTTTTTTTGTACACCCGGCGCCATTGGGTTAAGAGCGCACACATGAATATGTGGTGGAAAAAAGTGAATCAAGACAAGCCTATACACAGTGTATTAACCCATAGCCGCTGAGGATAGCATGTACATACATCTCATGCCTACCGAGTTTAATTTTTTTTTTTTTTTTCTTTCTCCACACAAAAGGCTCCACAAATACCTAGTCACCATTGAGCCAATTAAGAGTACTACCTGTCTTACATGTTTAGCCTTTTCTTTGATTTCCAAAAAATATTTTCTGGTATCTAATATTGCCATCAGTAATGTCAATAATAATAAAATAACAGCATCGATATTGATACCATTAGTAAAAAAATCCTGCAAACTCAAGGAAAGAAATCAGGTCGTCTGTAAATTGTGGCTTAATACTTATAGACCTATCTTTATACAGATATTTCAAAATACAATACTACAGTGTATACATCATTTTCCTTGAGACTGGGTTAATGTTAAGACAAAGGATTTTCTGTGTCTTCTCAAAACAATTTTGTTGTTTAGCTAGTAAATTTTGGGATGGATACTGTCAAAACTATAATCTTCATTTCAAATTGTTGATCAACTCATTATGTGATAAAGGTTATTTGTTAGCAAATTATAGAAGGGTTTCACAGCTCTGGCCATTACCTTTATATTATTTTCATCAACAATGCAAAAATGTTGGTTATTCAATCTAGATCTAGTTTTATCAAAAAGGGCTTACTAACCTTTCATTGGCAGTCTTCCAATTCTTACACTGAATTCTTTTTGCCTGTAAAAAAAAAAAAAAAAAAAAAAAAAAAAAAAAAAAAAAAAAAAGCCAACATTAAAAGATGTTTTCCAACAAAAGGCAAAAGTTAGATAATTTGAATTTTCAGATGCACATTACAATCAATAGGAACAACAGCCAATGGAAGTGTCCGCTCTCACTGCACAGAACGCACAGGAGAGAATCCACAACCAAGACTTGTTGCCTGTCAGATGACGCGCATGTGCAAATGGCATCATAGTAGTTTCGTTTCAAAAGTAAACAAGACCTGGAAACTCTGGACTTCCACATACTTGTCCATTACATAATTTCAAACAAATATTTTTATTTTCATTTCCAACTTGCTCTGACTAAGATATATAATGAAAAGTATCTTGTCATTTAGCTTCATGTATTGATCAGCTGGCATTTCCTGTCAACATTGGGATCATCACATTCAATATATAAATTTGTACAATAGGATAAATCTTACCATTTTACAATAATGCTGGTTTCTCCAACTGGTTCTTCATTCTTCTAAAGCTTATTTACTTAGGGATCTGAAAAGAGAAATACAACATTTTTCTTTTTTCTTTGTTATGGAGAGAGACGATTTTTCATATACACAGTCAGTGGCAATCTAGCTTCATATATCGGTCAGCCGGCATTTCCTATCAAATTTGGTTCATCACAATATTAAAATGTAGCAAAATAATATCTATACACAGTTCTCAAAAAAGTGATGGCCAGTTCTACTTTCATAAAGCAAATACATTCATGGTAATCCTCATCAAAATATCAATTGTTTTTTGACTTGTAGTTTTGACAAAATACCCTTGAAGTGTAGCCAGTCAATGACCCAAATCAAGTCCCACAAAAATGCAGATGGAATTGATAAGAGCTAGTGACAGCTAGTGCTGCTATTCCGTCTGATGCAGGATTGACCAATTTCCTAAGATGTGCCCAGAAACTCAGATAACAGTGATTCACAATTGAGACTGATGGAGTATTTGTGTAATGTTACTAAGGATTTTAAAACTCAAATTCTGTTGAATAGGTGTGATACCAAAGATCAAAAAAAAGTTTCATCTCTGGCCATTACCTTCAGAGAACTTCCTTCAAAACATTTTTTAAGAATGTTGGTTCTAGTTCTAGTTTTTACTAACCTTTCATCATTGGTCACGTTCTCCCAATTCTTGCATAGAATTTGTTCAGCCTGTAAGAAATTTAACACATTAAAAAAAGTTTCCCACAAATTTAGGAGCGAGAGAATGAGAATTTTCAGATGCACATTACAATCAATAGGAACAACAGCCAATGGAAGTGTCCGCTCTCACTGCACAGAACGCACAGGAGAGAATCCACAACCAAGACTTGTTGCCTGTCAGATGACGCGCATGTGCAAATGGCATCATGGAAGTTTGGTTTCAATGGTATACATGAAAATTTTGGCACTTGAATGTATTTCAGAAAATGAACAGAGTTTGTTTTTACCTTAACTGATGTGATGTTCATAAGGTTCACTGATGAAAAAATGCACCACCTGAAAAAACAACAATTATTTTATTTTCTGACTCCCTCATCTCAATAAAGAATATAACCAGAAGTTTTCAGTAGGCATTAGCTTCAAGTGTCGATCAGCCGGCATTTCCTATCAGTTAAGGATCATCACATTTAAAATATATATAGTCTTGTACAATCAATATATAAACTTTACCATTTAATACAAGGTTGGATCTCTGCTGTAGGATCTTCATACTTTTAATGCTTAGTCCTTTAGGGATCTGAAAATAGAAAATACTTTTATATTTTTTCCCCTTTGTTTGAGGGATAGGATTTTTTAATATAAATAATCAGTGGCATTCTAGCTTCATATATCGGTCAGCCGGCATTTCCTATCAAATTTGGTTCATCACAAAAGTAATACGTAATCTTTATACTATATTTCTCAAAGCAATTTTAAAGGTGTTGCCTAATTCTATCTGCACTTAGCTTAAACCTATTACTGATAATGCTCATTAACAAATGAATTTAATCTGGAGATGTAATTTTCACAGAAGTTAACCTTGAAATGCAGCCAGCTTCTAAACCAAATGTCAGTAACAGCATAATGCAAATAGCTTTGGAGAAAAAAAAAGATTCTCAGCTCTAGCCAACACCTTTATATTACATTTATACAAAAAATAGGTATCTTGTAATCTACTAACCTTAACCCCTTCATGATGGGTGATGCCTATAGGCGTGAAAACAAACTGCTCGAAATGTGGCGTGTGGCTATTCACTCGTCACCATTGGGTTAAAGTGGCCCTCTCTTCTAATCCATTCAATCTGTAAAGAAATTTAATGCACATTAAAAGAAGTCTTCCAATATAGGCAAGAGCAAGAGAATGAGAATTATCAGATGCACACTGCAATCATTAGGTACAACAGCCATTGGAAGTGTTCACTTTCACAGCACAGAACGCACTGGAAAGAGGCAACCAACCAAGACCAGTTGCCTGTCAGATGACGCGCATGTGCAAATGGCATCATAAAGGTTTGGTTTCAAAAGTATGAGTTGGCCAGTTATTTTCCCCTCCTTTAATGGAAATAATTTCATATTTCCTTAAAACTTGAGGCATTCTTACTTAGGTTTATCAGTTTTACAGTATAACTACACACAACTGTACTTATCTGGACTCCCTCTATTTTAAATAACCCACTCAACTGTTGATGTCCGATCATATCCTAGCCATAACCATCACACGTGCACTCGCACCTACTCAAAGTTCTCTCTCTTGCATTTCATTTCCCCCCCCTCTAGTAGCTGACTAGATCTATGTTCAGTTTCCTTCAAATTTATATGGTAAACTCCTTCAATATGGAAATGAAATATACAATTAAGTTTTTTTTTTTCTAAGCTAAGACCAAAATTGGGTAAATGAAAGCAGAAAAGCATACCTTTCTTCAGCTAGTGGGATACACAAGTTGAATTTTGGTTCTTAGGGATTAAAAACACTTCTGAAAAATAAAAAAGGGGTAAAACTATATATTATACACAATATCTTTACAAAATTTTGTTCCATATAAAAGAAAAAATACTTACAGGGGTACAGCACAGTAGAATCTAAGTATTACGGGAATTTGTGGTTAATAAAAGACAAACACTTTTCTCTCTTTATTCAGTCAAAAATCTACTTTGCAAGCCTTGACTGTCTTTGCAGGCTTGCCGTCCTTGTTTCTGGCTGCCCTGGGGCCTCTGGTCTTCCTTGGCTTCCAGGTCTTGGGCTTCTTCTCCTTGAGTTCCTTCTTCTTGCCAATTTCTGTCCCCTGATTTTCCTGGCTGCCTTTACTGTTGGTCGCTTGGGCAACCAGGATGTTCTTCTTCAAACGCAGATAGGCAGACTTGACAATCTTGTTCCTTGCTTGCTTTGCACGGCCAAGCTTGAACCTATCGAAAGTCTGTCATACTGGCACGCTGCAAGGGGTTAACAGTGTCATACACCACGAAAGTATTTACATTATACGGTTTCAAACAGATACAAATGCATCATCATGACCTTTAACAATTACAATTATAGGAAAGGAAATCCGAGAAGTGTTTATACTTTATGAACAAACCCATGCATTCTAAAATAGAGGTGTCCATGGAATACTCAACGAGCAATCCCTTCTTGATGTTCTTGTTCCAGGTAGATGCTTCAATTTCTCACTGTCTTGCTGCTTCCAGGCTGACCTGATCAACTTGGTCTCATACCACAGCCAAATTTTCAACTGGAAAGAATCACTTACTGAATATCTGAATCATCAGACCCGATACACCAGATATAGAAACAAGATTCTTTTTATTCTAGTTGATTTTTTACATTATATAAGTTACACTGACTTCCACTTAACCCATAGGTTTTCGCCTCATCTCACAGAACTGAACTGTGCCGTGGGACTCCATGGCAAGGTCCATCAATGAGGGCCTTTCGAGAGAGGGAAATAATTATTACACAGACCTTGTTCCAACTTACTAAATCATATATACAGTCCACAATATAACAGCTCTATAGGTCTCGCATATTACTCATGCATCTAGTGGGTAGTTTTTGCATACATCACTCGTCTGTCCATTTGGTTTTGTTACATGTACTTCATTCTATGAAAGATTAATACTGGTTATAGTGTATTTCTATTTTCCAAATTTGTCAGAACACCATCTCAGGTGTATTACAAGGACCTGGAAAGAAATATATCACTACTACGGAATACCTCAAGTACATTCACTGCATTTTAAAGGATTTGTCATATTTTGCCACAATCGATATATTCTAAGCTCAGTTAGATATTAATTCTTGAAATCCATTCCACAAATGGAGTTTTATTATAAGGCACAATTATAAAAATATATCTATGACAAACCTCTATATGTATCTGTACAGCTAATAAGACTACTAAAATAAGTTGCCTCCACTGCTCTATTTCTAAATTCCCAAGACCCAAAAGGGTACTATACTTGATGCAGCTGTATGTGTGGGATACCAAGTTGACTTGTTTCCGTGTTTGTTTGTTTTTTAATCCTTAAGAACCAAGAACACACCACTCACACGCTTGCTTTTTGTGTAAAATGGGAAGGGGACAATTCCATTAAAATTTTGTCAAAATATGGAAAACTACTTACCTGTTGGTGTCAATAATGTCGACAATGGACGGCAACTGCCCTTGTACTGCCCGTCATTGAGTAATACCCCCATTCTGGGCAAACTTTTTTGAACGCTGAAAGAACAACTTATTGTATTAATTCTATGTTGGTACAAATATTTGACCAACATTTAAGATTACTAACATGGTGCCTTACTGATCAAAGAGTATCATGAGGCTGACCACCGAGTAAACCTTCTCTCTTACTCCATACCAAAAACCTAAGATTTAAAGTTCCCTATGGTCCTACAAGGGTGAGCATTTAAGATCATGAACATATAAGTATCTATGACTGCTGAAGAGTGGTATTAAAACTAGAGGACTAACCACCTGATATCCAAGTGCCTAACTCGGGCAAAATGAGTGAATAAATCCATCTTAGACTCGCACACCAATACACAATGGCCATGTTAACCAAAATCGTTCCATAGCCCCTTTACCCTGTTCCTGTATTCTTACTGGTACTCAAAAAGGGATATATCCCCATAAGAAAAGTAAATTTTTAGATTCACACTGCCATCCCACTGTTTTCTAATCACAATGAAGAAGTGACAGTAAGGCAATTGTAATACAAGTAACTTCACCTTTAAGCCTTAAAAATAAATGACACTTAGACAAAAAATTCCACATCACTATAAACATACTGCTCCCAACACCCCCATGGCAAACCTGTCTTCACCTAGGTATGCATGGCGAATCGAAGCTGAACCCGAAACAACGAATTGAACCAAACAAGATGAATATTCCCCTCAATTTTTCTCCCAAACCTTATGGATTCTTAATTGTGTCCTACTTGTATTTTCCTGCACCAATAACACAACTTAATATCCATAAAAGAAAATTCTTCAACCTGCCCTATCTTAACGTGTACATACTGTATGATAACCATTCTATCCTCCACCAAAACTTGGAAGCTTACTGGGAATCCCAAACACGGCCATGGTTAATCAAACATTCCTACCTGGGTTTTCTTTGCAATTTTGTGCAAATCAATTCTTATAATACCACATCAAACATGCAAAATACTCCTTTTTTAATTACCATTTAATGTTAACATATACAGTGTCCTGCATACTAGGAATTATACTTGCACATTAATTTAACATTTCCTTAAAGGCTAATCCTTGCCCTTACTACTAGTACACCACATTGCTCCTATTGTCCTTACTGTACGTATTAGCAGATATCCCCGACCTGACGGAATGTTAACCAGAGCAACGCATGGTTTCCCATCATCAAAGAACAACAGCAACCTTAAGCAGCAATAGAATTGAAGTAGATTTCATTGCAGTATTCCTCTAATTATTCCCATCTACTAATTACTTACTTCACGACTAACATTTCACACTCATTCAGCCAAGTAACAATAACAGAATTATATTGACATTCTACAGTACGATTTTACTTCAAATAGGGCCTCTCCCACTAACAGGCAACATTTAACAAACTATGGAGGTAACAAATCTGAAACACCTAATACGAATAAGGCTCCTTAGTGTAATGCTCTATGGACCCAATATCCTTAAGTCCTGCCTGTCATATCGGCCCCGATTTCCTATTTAAGAACCGTTTTTTGGCGATAGGACTTATAGAATATTCCGGAACGCCATCACGGCCTGAATTCATTGAAGACGGAGTATTTTTGGTAAGGAACCTTTCAACGTATACTTTGAAGTCATCATAACATTGTAAACCATTGAACTTGCACATTGAGTCTAGTGTTTTTCCTCTCCTGGTTTATTTCATCCCGATTATCTCTATACTGACGGGATTACCCTCTAAATCTCCACTAAAGATGCACCAGGTACATCCAGTACTGATATTTAATCTCAAAGTAATCAGGAAAAGCAGATTACATCACAATTAACGATAATGGCACACTTTTTCTTACCATGGTCGCGCTCTTCCGCCGACTTCGTGAAGCCTCTGCAACGTCGCCGACAGTGGAAGTCGAATGTAACACAAATTTTGGCGAATATATAGATACTCAATATTTTGAATCAAAAATATATGTTTTCATCATTAAATTAATTAGAAATAAATAATGTTATAAAATTATGTATTTTGAATGTAGAATTCGGTTTTATTTTTTTCCGTATTTGATCCGTTTGCGTCGGCGCCATAACGTCTTTCCGTCTTGGCCAAACGGCGACCAACCCTGGGCAAGGAGGTGCTGCTCACTCTTTATCTTCTTGTATTATTCCATCGAATGCAATATATGATGATTATTGTGATATTTAGATTCGTTATGACTTTGGTATGATGCTGAGATACTTTAAGATCTCCTATGTGAAAATTTTGGAGATAATAGTTTGTTAGAGAATAGACGATGGCGAATGTAAACCAAAATAAGTGCGGTGTTCAATGTGATCGCTATGAGTTTTTCTGGAAAACTTTACTTATCTCTCTCTCTTTGCATTCGGAACCCAGGCGACGTTCGCACAGGAAGTTCATGACTCTAATCGGCTCTTGAACGAAACAATGGTGAGTAGACACTTCGGACATGTTATTAATATATTGCTAGAGAAATTCCACCTGGGGTCGGAATGCATTGTTGCATGTAGATACTTTGGATTATATCTTTGGAATCTTATGTGACGGACACTAATTTGTAGGCATATGGAGGATATTTTTTTTATAGCGGGGGGCGCAAGGGAATAGCCCCCTGATTTAGATTATATGTGATATTGTGTTATTTATATTTTAATTTGGCATATTCCCCGTTTTCATTCCCTACCCTGCAACTGGAGCCAAGACCATGGGGGGGTTGTGGGGTTCTATGGCTAATTTCGAAATAGTTTGATAGTTGAGCAAGGAATCATTCACCCTTAAATTGTTGGTCAGGACATTGAGCAGTGTAGTTCGCTTTTTCTTACTAAAGACTGTGTCGCTTGGGTGCTCCTGACTTTCATCTCCATCATGCTGTGCATGCTAAATGAAGACCACTTGCATATTTATTATATTTATGACAGAGAGTTGAAGAGATGGGCGAAGTGCATCCTACTGTTCGCGTACCATATGATTTTTGACCAACCAAGCACACTTAAATTTAAGTTTCCTTTAAAAATTGTTGATTATGTTCAATCTTTTTAATTTTTTGGTGAAGATTGACTCAAAAATTATTTTTTCCTTTTAGTATATTCTAAGCGGACACTCTTCTACGTGCATGCTCATACATATCCCTGTTCTATTTATATCAGTCTTCAATTACGCTGTAAGTACATACAGTAGGAATATAAAGAGTATAGAAAGAGAAAGCGCATTTTCCTGCAATTTGTCAATTGTTTCACCGTTTCCTGTTATTCATATGGCGTGTTAACAAAATTAATATGTTGTCATGACATTTTTGTCTTAAGTTTATATTTATTTTACATGTTGTTTGATGTCCTGCTCAGGCCGATCAACTGTCCCCAGGAATTAAGATCCGAACCAAAACTTGCAAGGTAAATAGCTTTCGTTTTATTAATATATCACAAGATAATAGACTATATAATAGCAAGTAACTATAGGATGATTGGTAATACCTTCACATGTCTATGGGTCTGTCCCAACTGCTGGATAAGATCTTGTTTAACCTTCTTGAACTGGATATCCCCAGACACCAGCAGCACATCCAATGAATGCCTGGACTGGCCTCAACTTTCTTGAAGATTTTTCATGTTATTATTAATTAAGAGGCAGTTTTCCCTCATATAATGAAGATTCATAGATTTCAGGAATGCCATTTAAAAAAAAAATCATGAATAGTATCCGTGTACATCTGGTAGATTGTGCTTTTTTGCTGATTAAATCGTGGCAAACATACCTCCAAAAGTTCAAAGATTTTGAAGAGAAACTCTCTCCGACACAATGCCACTTTTTAGATCAAATCTGTGCCTTAAACTTCTATCTTTCTTAAAGATCCCAATATCAAATTAAACCTTTACTGATTGGAATCAAGGGGGGGGGGGCGTAATGTATTTCACCGTTTTTGTCAAAACTATTCAAGCTATAAGAAAGTAAAGCCACAGATAGACTAGAAT